CTCATTGATCTAGGCATTAATCTAGGCTACACTCATGAACTTTTTGCATTGTCAACATTCACAGATGTTTGAACACAAGTGAATTTGACAAGTATCTAATAAAACTGTACATAAACTGTAAGTAACTTTATCCACTTTTGAAGTAAAGGTTTGTGAAATGGTCTTTACCATTTGATATTAACACTGGCTAGAAATATTCTCTATTTTATGGTTGATGCATTTATCTATTTCTCTATTGTGACTCCAAAGCTCGGTTGTAGCTTGAGCCAAGGCATATTTCTAATTTGTGACTTCTGTCACTTTTAATGGCTGTAAAATAATTCTGATTCTAACAGTTTAGCTGCTCTATCAGAAGGATAACATTTTGAAGTTATGATTTTAACTCTTACGTGGAAATGTGTTTCTGAACAACAAAGGAAGGACAATTCTACTTTTTTACTACTATTTAACATCTAATAAAACGCTACAATACTCATACTTTATCATTTTAACACATTTTAACAGTTGCTCAGTCTCCCAGACTAAAAAGTCAAAGTTTTTGTCTGTCAGATGTCTGAATACTTTCCATTTATTGCATTTGGTCACAGTTGTGGTTCTGGTTGTAGCAATAGCATCAGCAATAGATGATTTTTCATTGGCTGGTTCTTGTTCTGCAAATGGCTGTGTCCAATAGATCATCAGATGTCCAGAAGCTAGAGACAAACAAAAACAAAAGAAAGAATCATGAGTATCTCTCTCATTTAGCACTCATCAATGTATGATTTTGGTAATATAAACATCACTCCCCCGGTTTTTCTCTCCAAGGTCCTCAGGTCCTCAGGGTCCCCTGAGGGTGAGTCTCAGTCGTCATCAGGTCAGGTCATATTTCGAGAGATGTCATCTTGGACATCAGAAGGGTCCAAGCCATGGTTTTGGTCTCTCCAGATGCACATCAGGATCTCCAGATACAGTCTTTTCACTTGAAGCACATCAGGTCATTTGGGTTGTTCTTCTGGTCAATGGTGCAGTGTCTCAGTTCCTGTACACAGCTTGTTATGCAGTTAGGCACTGTGTATGGTTAGTCACTTTGATTCTAATCCTAATCAATGTAATTACTTCACACAGTACAAAATCAAAACATAAAAAGTGTCAGGACAGAGGTCAATTAGTCCATGACAATATAGAATTCAAATGAACATTTCTGGTCTCAAAAAATACTGATTCAAGTGATAGACAATTAAAAATATGTGTTTACATTGGAGTAAACTTTTAAAATGCTTTTTTTCTCATGTTCTGCTTTTTCATGTATCTATATGTAAATGTGTATGTGTGTGTGTGTAGATGTATGTATGTGTGTGTGTGTGTGTGTGTGTGTAGGGTGTGAATTTTGGGGTTGTGTCTCCAGACTCCTCGAACCACCTGCATTAGAAGGTCACACTGTGGTGATGTAAACCAACTGGACACACTCTCAACTCTCCTCCAGGTCTCTCCCTGATGCTCCACCCATCACGTCTCCAGACACCTCTCTCTGCCCCGGTCTCTCTCACACCCACTCAGTTCTGGAGTGGAGTGGGGAGGAGCAAGGAGGTGGCATTTTCCTTTGCTCTTTGATCTGTGACCTGTGCTGGGTGGGGTTTGCTGTCCAGTGTCCACTCCAGCAGTCCAGTGACCCTGTACAGTGTGTGCCCTTGGTTCTGGAAAACAACCTTATAGTCAAATTAAAAACAACAGATATCAGTATGTGAATGAGAATGTTTTTCTCTCTAAAGTCTAAACAATTTTGGAGTGCGCTTGGCTTTCCCACATGCGCTATATAAATAAGATTACTTATTATCTTACTAATGATGACATTTTTAGGACCAGAAACTAAAGAAGTTATCAAAACAACAATTATACTCAAAACAAACAACCTTTTAAACTTTAAAATATGTGTACTTTTGTACTGTGTGTTTAATTATCTATGCGTTCTTGGGTTTCACTTTATGGAATTTCCCTTTTACACTTGAACATTTATCTCAGCATCTATTCTACTAATTTAACATAATTGCAGCATTTTTCAAATGAAGGCAATATGAATTGGAGCACATTTCAGACCAGGCTCCTGTGGTGTGTGCATCAGCAGGAGCAACAGAGCAAAAATAAGCAGCAGATTTAAAAAGAAAAGCAAAGCTTTTTCACAAATATTTGAGTTTCAAAAACATACTATTCAAAACTTCTATTCCCTAAATGTGTTTAAAAACGTTTAATTGTGTCATGATACAATGTTCAATTGCAAATTTAGCAAATTTAACGGAATAACAACTATGAAAAGCCAAAATCCTAAACGCAGGTTTGTTCTGATTCAGAGCCAGAGTAACGAAGGAGGGGGCCGTTTCCCCTGACAACGGCAGCAAGATAGAGATGTGCACACACACAGGCAGAAAGTAGTGTTTTAGCAAAAATGCAAAAACAGAAAGAAGAACTTTCAAGATTACTTTTTAAAGCAAATATCAGATTCAGATTCATTTATTTGCCATTTGCAGTAAAACCACATTGGAAAAACTGTGCAAGACTACCCCGGTGTGCACCAGACAGAGAAGACGACACACACCAGAGCTCTTGCCACGGCGCCATCTTTACGGCGCCATTCGACAAACAGTAGAATAAACAGCAGAGAGCAATAACATACAGTTTCACAGACAGTTGGATAGACACATTGTGCTTTGTATAAAGCACGGATTTTTTCTCGGGATGAGCACCTCCGACAGCCGGCCAATGTGGCTGTCAGAGGGGGGCGGGGTCAGGGAGGGGGGTGAGTCGGAAACACAGTGAGGAGTGGAGGGGAGGGAGGGAACAAGATGGATAGGTAGAGGGAGGCGGGGGTAGGGGATCCAAGCTGGAGACTGAATAGTGTGAGTTGTTGTAGATGGGACTTTTGTTATTATGGCCTTGGCCGAGGAATGTGAGATAAGAGTGGAGAGAAGGCACAGGAGGAGAAAACACATCGCCTCAGGGGGACAATATTAATGCAATGTGGCAGTCAAAAACAGGCAGATATTCTATTAAATCCAATTAAACCGAATTGCGGCGCCCTCAGACCCCGTACACAGGGGCAAATCCAAGCCGGGTCAGAGAGTTCAAGCCTGGCAAACGATGTCATTCAATCTCAACTCCAGAGTTTTATTCCCTTCAAGTGAACGAGCTGCGAGATCTTTTATCAACTGTTCCACCAAAACCACTCTCCTTTGTCCAGACACGGCGCTCTCAACCACGACGCGGCTAAGCTCCTTGTACATCCCATCAATTTTGTCGGCCAGCAGGTCGTGAATCTTGCGAACTGCCATGCCTCCGAATTTGTGGTAGAAGAGGATCGCTCCAAACCCAAACAGGAGGATTCCCACCACCAAAATGCCAAAGATATATACGTCTTCCGAATCTTCAATGGACAGGGTCGACAGACAGAGGGGCTGAAACTTGTTCCAGCTGTCAAGAGTATACCCCGCAGGAGAAGTCCCGTCCGGGCACACGGGCTCTCCAGACCCACGCTTACGTGTTGAAAAGATAGAATCAATTGCGTTGAGGGACCAGTTAATCATTTCCATTCTTGTTAAAGTTGTCTGTGGCAAAACTCCAGGAAAAAGACAAAAACAGGAGATAGCAAGCAGTCAGAAGCAGGAGCGGTCTGAGACACGTCTTTGCTCGACGGAGGCGGAAGTGAGAGCGGAAGAAATATAACTGATGTCGTAGTTTATACTTTTGTCATCCAAGTCTAGAAATGGCCACTTTCCACACTTGTAACAAAAGGCACTCTTAGTGTTTAACGTTTCCCTTTTTATTATAACTTTAAATTTTACACCATGGTTTCAATAACTATTTTCTATTCTCTATTCTCTGCCCCGGCTACTCCAAAGGCAGGGACCCCGCTACATCAGGGGTTCCTTTTTTTCTCTGTCCTGACTATTTCAAAGGACAGGGACCCCGATACGTCAGGGGTTCCTTTTTCTCTCTGTCCTGACTACTCCAAAGGACAGGGACCCCGATACGTCAGAGGTTCCTTTTTCTCTCTGTCCTGACTACTTCAAAGGACAGGGACCCCGATACGTCAGGGGTTCCTTTTTATCTAATCTTATCTATAGATATTAGACATTTGGCAGACCTCAAAACAGACCATAATTTAGTTCACTCAATTAGCAGACTTTGAATAAACAGGTGTCCGCTCTTACCTTTTGTCGAACAGGGTGCCAGGCACAGTCAGAAGTCCACCAAATATCAGCTTTTCCACGTCCAACCAGGTCTCCAGATCATAAACCAGCGCTCACTAGTACCAGGAACTAGTTTCCATCGGCAGAGACCAATCACACGTCAAAAATCCCCGGAATGTGGACATGGGAAAACAATTTTAAACGCTCAGTCCAAAAAACAGGACACAAAAAAAAAATATAGTGAGAGAGCAAAAAAGTCCCGGAGCCGGTCGCCTCTCCAGCCTGCTGGACCGCTCCCAGGCCCCAGACACTCTCAGCTCTCCCACGCCGAGAAAAAGAAACAAAGAAAACTCCCTCAAAACAATCCAGAGAATGGCACACACTGAGCCGCGCATTCTCCACCAAATCTGCCAGGGATGAGGCAGAGAGAGACGAATCGTGGTGCGCCAAACTCTGGAAGTTTATTTAAGTTTCTCTCAAGTTCCAGTTGTTTCAATTGTTTCTTTCTCTCAGACAGAATAAAGGCAGTACACAGTTTATATAGTCATTGTCACGTCACACATCGAAAGACGTACGTGTCACACAGAGTCACATCATAGTCAAAATAATCAGAGTCCTTGTAGAGTCCTGCACATAGGCCATATTGCTATCTAATACTAACATTTCCTTTTTTATTTCTAGTTTACTTCCCACAGACATAGTCTTTCAGAAAATTGGGTTTAGACACAGTTCGTTGAGGCACCACCAGCGGCGCTTCCCTCACTGTCTCTGGAATGACCACCATTGATGGAGTTGTTATGTCCCTGAGTTGTGGATTCTTTTCCGGAGCACCACTCGCGCTTACTGCTCCAGGTTCCTCTGACAATGGTGTAGCGTCAGCCGACACAAGTGGTACTGTCGGAGGTGCCGTTCCCTCCGGGTCAATAATGTCTTTTTGTTCAGGTCTGTCCAGTATCTGGTCCACATGCCTACGCACTATGGAACCATCCCCTAACATGACTTTGTAAGACACAGGGCCGGTGACTTTGGTAATGAAGCCTTGGATCCACTTGGGCCCATAACGTTTTGCGTGATGACTGCAGCTCCGATTAAGAAACTTCTCACTGTTCTTTGTTTGTCATGATGCTTCTTTTGAACGCCCTGCTTCAGTTCCACCTTGGATCTCAGGTCAGGATGCACTAGATCCAAAGTTGATCTTAACCTACGACCTTGTAGCATTTCAGCGGGTGACAACCCTGTGGTCGACTGAGGGGTAATGCGGTAATTAAATAGCACCCTCGAAACTTTAGTCTGGATATTTCCTTCACCCGCCTTTTTCATTATGCACTTTAAGGTCTGGACTGCCCGCTCGGCACAACCGTTTGAAGAAGGGTGGTATGGAGCATAGGTAATAGGTGATCAATGCCGGTTTTTTTCATAAAATCTTTAAACTCAGCCCTCACAAAACATGATCCATTATCCGACACCACCATCTCGGGCAACCCTTGACTGCTGAAACTTTTCCGTAGACACTCGATTGTTTTAGCTGAAGTTGCTGTTGAAACAGGGTATGCGTCCATCCATTTTGAATGAGCATCTATTAAGATCAAAAACATATAACCCATAAATGGTCCTGCATAGTCTATGTGTAGCCTTTGCCACGGTTTGCTTGGCCACTCCCAAGGGTGGAGGGGCGCTGGAGCCGGTACGTTACGATGTTCTTGACATGTGCTGCATCCCTTCACCACTGTCTCAATGTCTGTATCTAGCTTTGGCCACCAAAAGTAGCTACGTGCTAAGGCTTTCATTCTGGTAATGCCTGGGTGACCATGATGCAGTTGGCGAATCAAAGCTCCCCGACCTAGCGGGGGCACCGCCACGCGTGACCCCCACAATACACAACCATCTTGCACACTTAACTCCATTTTCCTGACGGAATAAGGTTGGAATGCTGGGTCTGACTGTTGTGACGGCCAACTATGTTGAATGAACTGCAGAACTCGGGACAACACAGGGTCTTTACGTGTCCACTGGCTCACTTTGGTTTCTGATATCAGCAACGCGTCCTCCATCATCAGCACTCGATCCTCTTGCACTTTCTCTGTCGATGGCTGAGGTAGGGGCAGTCGGCTCAGCGCGTCTGCGTTGCTGTGATATTTCCCTGGCTTGTAGACAATCTCATATTCATATGCTCTCAAAGTCACCGCCCACCTTTGGATGCGAGGGGATGCCATTTGAGGCACAGCTTTCAACTCATTGAAAAGTGACAATAGTGGTTTGTGGTCTGTGGAAATGACAAACCTCCTTCCATACAAGTACTTATGGAAACGCTGAATGCCGAACATCACTGCCAGTCCTTCCTTGTCCAGTTGTGAGTAGTTTGATTCAGCCGGCGTGAGTGTCCGTGACATGAAGCCAATAGGTCGCTCTTGCCCGTCTGACATACGATGTGACAACACCGCCCCCACACCGTAAGGCAACGCATCACAGGCCAATAATAAGTCTTTCTGGCTGTCATAATGCACTAAGACCTTTGACGACTGCAAGAGTTTCTTAGACTCCCCAAAAGCCCTCTCTTGCTCCTCCTTCCAACACCAAGGTGTATCCTTTCTCAACAGTTTATGTAAGGGCGCAAGCAACGTCGACAGGTTTGGTAAGAATCTGTTGTAGTAGTTAAGTAAACCTAAGTACGACTTCAACCGTACTATTGGTGCAGCCCATTCTGAGAACTTCACTGGTTCAATGACACCCTGCTTGGTGAGTCTCTCCAGCTCTGTCTCTACTTTCTTCCTCATAGCATAAGGTACGGGCCTGGGCTTGTAGAACTTAGGGGCAACATTCTCTTGAATGTATATTTTTGCCGGCGGCCCTCTCCAGGTCCCCAGTTTCTCTTTAAAAACCTCTTCGTTCTGTTTAAGCACATTTTGTAAAGTAAGTGGAGAATGATCCATTTTGTTGACATGCACACAGTTCATTTCCAACTCCCTTAGCCATGCTCGACCTAGCAGGTTTGGTCCTCTGCCATCTACCACGACCAGTGGTAACTGTTGGACTTTGTCCTTGCACGTCACAGTCACTTTTGTAGTCCCTAATGTAGAGACCTTTTCACCCGTATATGTTTTCAAAGTCAATGGGCAATTTTGCAGTTCTTGTGCCTTTCCTTCTGGCCACAACTTGCTGTATTCAGTCTTTGTCAAAATCGTCACACTACAGCCTGTATCCACCTCAAACATTACTTTTTTCCATTTATTACTAGCTGTGTGGTAATAGGGTCCACCTTTTCTAACTTTGATTCTTTTACTTTGTGTAATGTAAACACTTCTTCATCACTAGATTGTGTCTCAGAGGACTCATCCATGTGGTGTGCATACTGTTTTTTTTCCTTACGGCTACCTTTCTCCCCCTTCACAAAACTCTTTCCACCCCCCTTAGTCTGCTGGGCACCCGGAGGCGCGGACCTGCACATTTTCTTCACGTGCCCTTTTTTCCCACAGCCATGACATTTTTCATTTATAAAACGACAGTCCCGCGCAAAATGATCACCCCCACACCTATAACAGTCTGATGGAACGCTCTTACTTTGTCGTTTATTCTCCGTTCCCACTTTATGCACTGTCATTGGTGTTGCATTTTTCCCCGCCGCACTGTCCAGCGTCGGCTGCAAGTCACGCACATCCCTGTTTGCCGTTTCGATGGCCTGCGTGATTTTCAAGGCTTTTTCAAATGTCAAGTCGGGCTCCGCCAACAGCCTCCTCTGTATGCGGTCCTCCGCAATGCCGCACACGAGCCTATACCGCAGCATCTCCTTCAGCTTGTCCCCGTAGTTGCAATGTTGAGCCAGCTCCCTCTGCACAGCCACATACTCCGTCACAGTTTCGTTTGCCGTTCTAGTCCTGGAATTAAATTTAAATCTCTGGACTATTTCACTGGGCTTTGGATTGAAATGTGACTGAAGCAGGTTAGTCAACTCCGTGAATGACTTATCACTAGGGGTGGGAACCTAAGGGTACCTCACGATACAATACGATACACGATACAAAGCTCAAGATAACGATAATATCACAATAACGATATTACGATAACGATTTTATCACGATATGACGATTATTGATATATTGGTCAGAAATATACAATATGCCAATTTATGGCATAAATAAAAGAAAAAATACTCTTTATTTCATGATAAATAGAATGGAGATGCGTAATGTAGCCATATATTAAGTATTGATACCAATTCAAAATCGATATCGATACTTGGAAAATGCATATCGATAATCGAATCGCGGGAGAAAGTTTCGCGATATATCGTCACACCCCTACTTATCACCAGGTTTGTCCGGGCTCAATAAGTTTCTCATCAAACTGTATGTCTTGCTTCCAACGGAGCTCAGCAATATTGCACGCTTTCTTCCTGCATCAGTGATGTCATTAGCCTCGAAGAAGTGTCCCAAAACCTCACAGTACTCCTCCCAAGTCTGCGCTTGACTGTCAAATACCGAAAGTGTCCCCAGCATAGCCGCCGCCATTCCTCCGGCAACTGCGTTAGCCTGGTTAGCTCCCTCGTTGTCCGACATTGGCCGAAAATCAATTCAGAAACGCTCGAGCCGTTTTCTTCCCAACAGCGTCTTCGAGCTCACCAGTATCCTCGTCGCCAAATGTGGTATCCTTGTCATTAAAGAAGTCATAAATACCGGGTGGCTTACACGGGGGTTTAATCATCATCATGCAGCCAACAATATAACAGAGCATGAACCCGCCAAGTGCACTCTTATTATCACCCCTTATCCCACACTGCCACCTATAGGTTTGTGGTAAGATAACACTATCCTATATTACAACGCTTCACATATCAGTATTCTTTCACTCCACACGAGATGGTGATAAACTAGTACTGTAGTCACAGCTGCCCTGGGGCACACTGACAGAAGCAAGGAAACCAGTCTGTGCCATCAGCCCCTACAACCACCACCAACCATCCACACACACACCAGACTCATTCTAATGTGGGTGAAGTGTCTTGCGTATGGACACAACCACAGTTCGGCACTTTACAGCTGCCCCACTGTGGCACCTGGTGTTCCAAGAGGTCTTCCATCCAAGTACAAACCAGGCCCTGCCCTGCTTAGCTGCATCTCATCAGGAGGGGAGCATCAGGGAAGGGCCCAGGGCTCTGTGGAGCGAGCACAACACTTTGATGACACATTCATCATTCACAAGTGCCAGGTGTGAGCTGCACAGGGGCCAATTATCACTGTGTTTGTTCAACAACAGGCTGTTTGGTAACACACGCAAACACACACACGCACACATCCACACATGCGCACACACCCATATACACACACATATGCACACACACGTCATATTTTCCAGCAATGTGGCAGCAAAATATCAGCCATCATGTCGGACATGATGCTTAGAATTTCTTTCAATAAGACAAAAAAGGTAAAGAAAGCTATTTCTGCCTAATTACGTGACATGTTTCGGCGGTAGACTTCCACCTTCGTCAGAGGTGACACGTGATGGTGTGATGCGTGAGTCTGACAGATCTCACAGATTCCTCAGACTGACTGCGTTGTGGTCTCTGGAGAAGTGAATTCCAAGTGTGAGCCAAGGTGAAAGCCCCCTTGTTGATGGTCTGCGCACCCGCTTCCTGAGGACGTGGTCCAAACATAGACTTACTTACTTGTATATATTAACGAACGTAGTCATGCCTATCTCCGCCGTTCTAACTAATGGGCCAAAAAATTGGGCTCTCATGGAGTGATTCAAAATGGCCACGGGGGCTGGAAAATGTGAAAAAACGCATCTGTGCATGCGTCAGCCGTAAACTAGAGTGGTCCAAAATGATCCACTCCCCTCAGCATTGACACACATCTGGAACGGAGCTTTAGGCCAAGAGCCAACTTTTGGACCATCCTGTAAAGGTGTTTTCGAGAGGTAAGAAGATGCTATATGCTAGCATTGGCTAATTCTTATTCTGTGTCCACCCCCATCGGCCCGGGGTGGTATTGCAAGCATGTCAGTGCACGTCATTTTGGCCACTTTTGAGCCGGGACCCGCCCCCACTGGGTCCAACCCGGAAAACTTAATTCCTATTCCTTGTAGTAATTTGTAGATTTCATCACGCTTTGAAGCAACTGTGGTTAAAGTTAAACTCATCATTCTAACAATATGCACAAGGCAGTACTTTTCCACTACTTGTTTTGGTTATCTCAAAGTTGAAACCACTGGCACTGTGGCAAATGCTCATCGGACAGTCTCCATTCCTCCATGCTGTATAATATCACTTGCATTCTGTAACATCTTTATTCGTGCTCATCTACCGTCTATGATAAAACACGTCTTACAATACAATACAATTAATTCTTGTATAGCCCTAAATCACAACAGAAGTCATCTTAGAGGACTTAACAAAACCATTGAAATCACCGACACAGATCAGAGAATCAACAGTTAAAACACATAAAGAATATAGAACACATGTTGAAAAATGTCCATCATACATGTTGTAGAATGTTAAAGTGTCCTGGATCATAACCACAGTCCTTCTAGTTAGACCAGGGGTGCCCAAACCTTTTGCTTCCAAGGGCCAAAGTAAAAATTTGCCAGTGGGCCGCGGGCCAAATACACCAATATTATGCATGAAACACAAATAAATGTAGATTTGATCAAGTTCTTTTAAATGCATTAATTATTGTCTATCAGTGCAAATCACAGCTGAATGAATGAAATCAACACAGTCTTAGTGAAATGGAGACTCCTGGGAAATATGCAGGTTTGAGGAGACTACAGTACGGAAAGATTCCGGCCGGGTAATCAGGGTCCAGAGGAGGGAGATTTTCTGTCATGGCTTATTTAAAGGTTAAAATCATATAATAAAACCTCAAAAAGAGAACAGAAACATACATTTTGTGTGCACCATGTGCACTTGTATATTGTAAATAGTAACTAACTCTATTTTAAATTTAAATTTATTCCTTAGAAGTGTTTTTTATTCTTTATTTTTATTATCTCTGTTGCACTGAGCCAAAGCAATTTCCAAGTCTATTTTCATATATTTATTTTGAACAAAAGTTTTTAACTACATTTGAATCATATTACTTTATCTTAGCTTTTATCAAAAAGGGGAGACATCTCTGATCAATAGATCTGGTTTTAGCACACTTTTAAACAATACATTTTAACATTAAGTAATGAATTTGGGAACATAATTGCTAACTGCATTTTCTAAACATGATCAGGTTTTAACTCTTTTAACTTAATATTTTTAACATAGGACAAGTATTCTCAATTAGTAGCGAACTGAATATTAAACTAACAAAATCAGACTAGTTAACCATGATTTGTTCCTGGAGTTTTGTTTTGTTTTGCCTAAACACAGTACAACATTTATAAACAATCAAAACAAAGTAACTGTTAAAGAGTCCGAGTTTCCGCTCCTCCAAAGGGCTCTTGAACGCATCATAAAACTCCGCGTAAGTTCTGTCTGACATTCAATGATCGCGAGTGAGGACGGCGCTTACCGGCTTCTTTCATGGGGTTGTAGAAGGGTTTGTTTTGCACAGTATTTGTTGCTTCTACTTGCGTGGATCGTGCGCTGCGATCCCTGCTTGTCCTGCTTGAACTCACTCTGAAGTGTTTGTGTCCGTCCTTTTTAACACACCGGGTGGGTGCGGATTGCGCAGGTGAATAGTTCCACTCGCCATTTCCCTCCGGTGAGGAGGGGGAGGGAGAGTGGCAGTTCGGCAGCACAATCCTCTCAATTTGATAAAACATTAAATAGCTCCAAAAAATAATAATAGTAGGCTGAAAAAAAAGAACATAAAGGGGCCTTGCACCCAATTGTTTTGAAAGATGTGTTTGATTTTAAAAAACAGTTTAGTGCAAGTTGATGTGAACCATGAGTGAGGAGTGTATCTCGATACAACAGTTAAGTACTGGACAGTCGGAGTTCAGAGGGTGACTTTGTGCCCGTGCGACCTCAGACACGTTACTGTTTGTTCAGCGTGGCTGAGGGACGCAGATAGAAACTTACAGCGGAGGTGGGCAATGTTTGGCGGGCCAACTGAAATGGTCTGGCGGGCCCCACTTTGGGCACCCCTGAGTTAGACACTAACTGCCCAACAGACCCTCCTCTGCATCGGTAAGGAAAAACTCATAAGAAAACCCAGAGGGAAAAAGTCTTCTGTCACGATCCCAGACGATTGTCATTTTTTTCAGTAACCAATCAACCACACCCACTGATACTGATGTTAATTTTAACCTTGCTACGTTAATGTCAGATCGATGCAACAAATAATTTTTTAATTTGATCTGTTCTTATGATCTTGATTTTATGTTTATGACTGAAACACCACCAAATTTCAAATCTAAGTCTGAATTACAAGAAAACAAAAGGAGGGGAGGCATTGCTGCAGTTTTTACAAATCACATTGTCTCCCATAAATTGCCATCATTTGAATGTGTTTTTTTAAATAGAACAAAAGCAATGTTATGATCATTGTTGTGTACAAGCCACCCCAGTCATGTCATAGTTTTATTGATCATTTTACTGAGTTGCCTTCAGTTGTAGGTACAGATTTAGATGGTTTAGTCATTACAGGCGATTACAGTCATTATTTGAATATACATGTATGTAAATAGTGTTAATGACAGAAATGCAAAGGGCCCAAGAACTGTATTTGAGATCTATAGCCGCGTTTCTGCCGCAGGAACTTTGGGGTAATTTTCCAGGGCCAGCCCCATCGGTGCCTCCGCTGCAGGATCTTCACCCACAGGGCCATTTACAGGAACTTTTACAGGGCCCAACAGAGTCCCTCCTTCATGCTAGGTACTCCGTTGGGCCCTGGTGGGACTTGATGTTAACCCGCCGCTGATTGGCTTAAGCTAGCGCCGGCTCAGACGCCAGCAGAAAGCAGCAAAACAACATTAGCTACAACGGCATTGGCCACAACGGCATCAGCCCAGAAGCATTAGCCCAGCAGCAATAGCCTAGCACCATTAGCCTAGCAGACAACACTGGAAACAGCAAACAACAGCACGGAATTGATTCAGACTGGGTTTGAGGCATCGCGGCGAAATGAAAAGATATTTAAGACATATCAGCTTCACCTCGAAGCACTGGAGATTCATCACAATCCAAAACAAGCCGTGAAAAGCTTTAAAACACTGAAGGACAATAATAAAAAAAAAACCAAGACCACAACAACCGGAGAGGTTAAGACCGTAAAATAAACAAATGGGTTTGGCGCATGGATCTATAATAATAACAGGTTTGGCGTAATGAGTTTTGCTTATGCGGCAATCGAAACTCATGACATTGCCAAGTGGTCCTACTGCAGTGGACACTGAGAGGACCGAGGGAGAGGACGGTTCCTGTATAAGTTCCACCCCACTCCTGCTGTGGAAACGCGGCTTTTGGTCTCGCTCAGTATGTGAGAGGCCCCACCCACAGCAGAGGGCACACTCTCGACCTGCTAATTACGAAGGGGGTTAAAATTTGTAATTTTAATGTAGTCGATATTGCTCTGTCTGATCATTTCTGTGTATTGTATTTGTTTTGCTTGCAAACCACCAGTTGAATATGAAATTGTTTTAAAGTAGACACATACATGAAAACACGGGTGAATTGTTCATGGGAATGATACATTTCGAGAATGCATTGTGTTCTACTATAGATGAACTGTTTAACTCTGTTACCTCTAGTGTTTTTATTGGTCTGGACACCATTACTTCTGTGAAGGATAAAATGGTTACAGATAAGCAAAAGCCCCCATGGACAAAAGCAGACTTGGTCAGGGCACAGAAGCAAGAGTGCCGGAGGGTGAAAGTCCAAGCTCCAGGGTGATTATGAAATCTTTAAAAATAGATATTTAAAGGTGTGAGTTTAGCCGGGTGCTACATAAAACAAAATAATTGTACTTTTCTGAAACTATTGATGAATGCAGCAACAATCTGCATGTTCTCTTTTCAATAATTAATATATTAACGAACCCCCATTAGTTGCGATTAGAACATACCTCAAAATCCAAGTGTAATGAGTTTGCACAGTTTTTCGGAGGTTCAAGGCATCAGAAACGGCATCACCTCCACAACACAAATAACTACGCAACGGCCAGTGAGGTGTTTAAAGCTAGCTCAATTTTCATCTGTTGATAATGAAACTGTCCAAAGGTTAATCACCTCCGCCATTCTGAATGCTGCGGTACTTTACCATCCCATTTTAAATCTGCTGTTGTTGGTAGGAAAAAGTTGCCTACCAACAACTTACTGAATTTCTAATGATTACTGACTCTTTTGATCTGTTCCAGTCTGGCTTTAGACTCCACCACAGACCACTCTAGTGAAGGTAATGAACAACATTCAACTTAAAGTTGCACTAACTCACTTTGTGAAATTTTCAAATGTGAGCTCAGCCTGTGCATATGTGTTTAAGGAGCTCAGGTCTCAAATTATGGATAGCACATTTGAACATGGATGGCGTGACCATAGAATGATAGAACCGGGAAGCGCGGAGGAACGAGACTTTCTTTTGGTTGTTTCGTTGTGGAAGTAACCGGTAACAAAGACACGGGAAGCTTCAGGTTAGCCTCCGCCGCTTGTTTACCGCTGTCTGTGCTAACGAGAGACCGGTAGCTTTTCTCAAGAAAGTGGGGGCCAGTGGTCTGCTGTGATTGGTCACAATCTGGTCCCAAAACAAATTATCTTATGCACGAAAAATTTATCTAAAATGAAATGACACGCCAGCACAAATCTGGGATACTTTTTCTTCAAAAGGACGTATTTCCCAATGCATTGCAAGGATATGGTATGCATTTTTGTAATGAAGACAAAAATAAAGTGCGGTAATGCAGCTTTAAACACTGACGCACGAAAAGTCTCTGTTGTAGTCATGTTGGATCTGAGTACCCCTTTCGACACTGTCGTCCTCATGCAGAGACTAGGACTGGGTTGGTGTTGCTGGCACTGCCATAAGCTGGTTTAGATCCTATCTAGAAGACAGGAAGTATTGTGCGAATATTGTAGACTGTGTTTTAGATAATATGGCCCAGACCTGCGGAGGGCCACAGGGGTTAATCCTTGGGCCTCTTCTGTTCAATCTCTACATGCTGCCATTAGGTCAGTTAATACGAAGTAAGAAAGTGTCCTACAACAATTAAGCTGACGACACTCAACTATATGTCTCACTTATTGCTGGAGAACATGGACCAGTGGACTCACTCCTTCACTGTATCCAACAGATCAGTGAGTGGATGCAAAACAACTTTCTCCAGCTAAACGCAGACAAAACTGAAATTATTGTATTTGGTCCCCAGAAACAATGAGAGAGTGTTGTTTATCACCTTTAGTCTCTCTCCCTAAAACCTTTGAATAAGGTCAGAAATCTGGGGATAATAGTGGACTCGGACATGAACTTCAATAGCCTCATTGGATCAGTAACATCAGCAGCAAATTTTAGAGTAGAGATAAAATCTTTCAGTTGTATGCAAAGGCAAAAAGAACTGTCTTTAACCTGGATTTGAACATCGCCAGAAAGGAAGCTGGTCTCACATTCTCAGAAAGACTTCCAGACATCGGCGGCATAATCTGAAACGCTGCCTCTCCATGACTATTTCTGACTGTGGGCACCAGCGGAAGGCTGATCCCTGTGCTCCTCAGAGTCTGTGCCGGTTCATATGGCACAAACATGTCACGGATGTACTTTGGAGCGAGGTCATGGAGCGACTTATGGGGCTTTCAGACCGCCAATGCTGAAACGCGGAAGCCCCGCTCACCAGACGCGCATTCTCTAGTTTTCAGACGCCACACCAGAGCGTCCTGACGCGAGCCGGAAGTACCGGAAGTAGCCGGCCGGCTCTGATGCTAACAGAGCTACGCTAACGGCTTCTTGTGTACAGATCTTCTCCAATATGCAGCTTTGCAGCGTGTCTTTGAACAGAGACATTCCACGGGCTTTATATAACAGTAGTATGTGTTCACGGAGGTGCGCCATACGTTTTTTCATATTATTAAACGGAATTTCCGCATCGGCGAACACACTCGAAGCAGTTGCATAAGGTCACAGGAGCATGACAACGCATATTTTCACAAGCACAGTCCCCAACTGTCAACCCTGGTTTGAGTTCTGGTGAAGCCTAGTGGGTCCTGTTTTGGCTCAGTCCGCTAATGTCCCCGTGACCACTTTGCTGATCTCTGATTGGTTGTCGCACAAACGTCCCAAGGAAAGGATGAGCAGAATCCATCTCCTGTGGGCGTTGATTTTTCGCTCCTGCTCCTCCCTTTTCACTTTCCCGCCAAGTCCGTGCGTCTCTACTGAACAGTCCGTTCGTGCGTGCCGAGAGGTCTGTGCGTTGCGACGGTCAAACGCGCGCCACCATAGACTTTGCATTGAAACCCGACGCAACGCATGATCCGGTCTGAAAGCACCATTAAAGAGCTTATTAAAGTCTATTCTCCGAGCCACAGGAAGCCAGTGCAGAGACCTGAAAACTGTTGTTATGTACAGAATGTGAACGTGCAAATTTTGTAGAGTCATACCCCGAGAGGCTTGCCGCTGTTAGTAAAAGTCCACCAAGTATTTACTGTATGAATACTTATGCATGCCCAACTTTTCGGTCATGTATCATTTTGCTTTCACTTCAGAGTTGTTACTTGTGTGTGAACTTTCAGTAAAGATTCAACTCACACATGCACACACACACGCTCACACCACACACACAGAGACGTCAGGAGTGTCAGGAGAGAGCGGTGAACAGGTATAAACTCCCCATGTGCTGCTGGAGACATCCCAGACCTGAGAGCAGAGCAGAGGTACACATGGATCCCTCTGCTCCCTCAGCCCTGTGCTTCCCGGAGCTGAACCAGTCGTGTCTGCGGCCCCCGCTCTCCCCCGGCGCCTCCTTCCGCCTGGCTCTGCTGTGCACTGTGGCCCCCCTCACGGTGCTGCTGAACCTCCTGGCCATCACCGCGGTCGCACACTTCAGGCACGCAGCACGACTACACACACCGCACACACAACACAGACCACACACACCGCACACACAACACAGACCACGCACACCGCACACACAACACAGACCACACACAGATTCAGATTCAGTTTTATTTGCCATTTTCAGTAAAAAAAAAACACATTGGAATTAGGGGTGGGAACCTAAGGGTACCTCACGATACGATACGATACGATAACGATAATATCACGATAACGATATCACGATAACGATATCACGATAACGATATCACGATAACGATTTTATCACGATACGACGATTATTGATATATTGGTCAGAAATATACAATATGCCAATTTATGGCATAAATAAAAGAAAAAATTACTCTTTATTTCATGATAAATAGAATGGAGATGCGTAATGTAGCCATATATTAAGTATTGATACCAATTAAAAAAAAAATTGTAAAAAAACAAAAAATTCAATATTTTAATTTTTTTTTCAAAATTGATGAATGCATATCGATAATCGAATCGCGGGAGAAAGTATCGTGATATATCGAAAAATCGATATATCGTCACACCCCTAATTGGAATACATTAGCAAAAAGTCTCCAGTGTGCACAGACAAATACAGACATAAAAAAAAGAATTAAGAATTGCCAATTCAAAAACAATTTAAGGCACTTGGTAGAATTTTTTTTTTTTTTAAAGTCTGAAAAAGGAATAGGCAGAAGCTAAAGCTGATAGTCACCTACTCTTTTGTATACATTAAACTACATACATACATTAAAATGTGCTACACACAAATCACAAAGTCCATTACATTTTGTAATCCAGTTTACAATGAGATAAACCAGGCTCTTGTTATTATATTGATGGACATTTATCATCATTGTTGGACATTGGTCTCTGTCCCTTATGGACCAAAGGCTCTTTGTGTTTTGTAAGATATTTCTCATTGCATTTCTTGTGTTTGAACTGTTTTAATCCCTGATCTGTGTTGGCAAATTCAGTTTAAGTCCTCCAAGATAACTTCTGTTGTGAGGCTATTAGGGCTGGGCGATAAAACGATAACGATATATATCGCGATAGACATGTGTTCGATATCAATAGAGAATGGGGTCGATAGAATGTTCGATAGTTTAACTTAACTCCGTCAGGAAAAACAGGAAGAAAACACCGGAAGTAAAGCCGACTCATAAGCGCATGGCATTGTGGGGGATGTAGGCAGAGGCTTCTCGACCAATAACAGCCGAGCAGGAACCGCAAAACTTTGTGGGAAATGCAAAAACAACAACAACCGCAGCATGCGTAGCGTCCATGGATCTATAGCTCGTGTTTCAATGCCGTGTCAATGGTTATGCACGTACGTGCGCGGAATAACATGTGCGGCGACAGAGGCAGTGGACAGACCCGATGTATTCGGCGAAAGCAAGAGATTAACTTTTTCCTCGGGAAGCATGTGCGGCACAGAGAGCCGCACGGAGCGGTCACGGGGACACAAGACCCTCAAACAGCTAAACCAGGAGCTAAACCAGGAATAAAAAACCAGGATTAAACCAGGACTAACAACGAGGGACACAGTGTGAACATATTCCTCCAGCCTCATCGCCCCGTGACTGTAAACAAGGCTGCTAAGGTTGGTTAGCCCACACGACAAATATATTTATTTAGGTAAAAAAAAAAAACTCAATATATATCGTTATCGACTGATATGAATGACTTATATCGTGATATAGTTTTCAGCCATATCGCCCAGCCCTAGAGGCTATACAAGATTGTGTCAGAATATAATCCCCAAAAAACCTCTCAGAAAATGATAGTATTTTGAATTTGGACTGTGAGTCATAAACCTCGAGATTGTCACAAACAAAGGCATGTGATTTATTAGTTTCACGATTTAACTTGAATTACAGAAATAGATGAACTTTTCAACGGAATTCTAATATTCTGACTTCCATCTGTGGAATGATAAATCGCAATGTAATTTTTAATAAACTTTACTTCAGACACAAGGTCCATAAACTTTGTAAAAGACAGGACAGGAACATACAAAAACATATAAATCAGACACGGTATAGACACAGATTTCTTTTACAGACACAGCAGATTTGATCCATATTCATTGCATTTAGTTATTGTTCCTTGTTGGTGTTTTTGCAGTGAGTTTCGGTGAGTGAGTGAATATTGGTTCTGCTTATCTGAGTGATTTGATTTTCTTAAGTCCCTTTGCAAAACCGATTAGAATGATGCAATTTTTTATTATACCATATTTATTGTATTAATGACAGGGCCTTCTCTGCCCCACGTCAAAACAGCTCCTTGTTGAAATCTTGTCTGAAGATGCACTTTTACTCTCCGTCTTTTAACACCGTGTGAGTTGTGTGGTCCTCTGTTTAAGACGTTTTATTTATTTTATTGTTATTACATTTTTATTTTATAAGGATAACTAGTATTTTCTTGTTTTTATTTCATGCATCATAATGTGTTACTTATTCAATGTTTTATACCATCCATCCATCCATCCATCCATTTTCTTCCCCTTAATCCATTTCTGGGTCGGGGGGGTGGCCAGAGATGCCACCCAGTCCACAGAGCACCAGCCCCTCACTGATCCTCCTGCAGGTGGTGAGTCCACAGGAGCTGAGATCTTTCAGTGGGAGCTTCAGGCAAAGTGGGGTTAAGTGTCTTGCCTAAGGACACAACGACAGCAGTTATCAGTGGGAGTCGTTAAGTAGGTCTTACGGTGGGCTCGAACCCACAACCTTCAGGCTCAAAGGCCAATGCTCTACCAACTGAGCCACTGTCGCCCCATGTTTTATACCTATAAAGATAAATATGTAAATCTCAATGTTTTTCTTCAATTCTATTTATTGTTGTATATCCCTAAATCACAACAGTAGTTATCTCAGAGGACTTTACACAACCATTGAAATCACCAACACAGATCAGAGAATCAAACCGTTCAAATAATAAACTAGAAAACATATTGGTATTGGTCCAAAAGTGTTTTTCAAATGTGCTATATATATAAAGTGGATTGGATTAATATCTTTGTATAATCGCACAACTGCATTATGTACATACAAGTGTGGCAAGAGCTCTGGTGTGTGCTGTTGGTGCACACTTGGGTAATCTTTCAGTTTTTCCAATGTGGTTTTACTGCACATGGCAAATACATTCTTGAATCTTGTGTGCTGCTAAGCCTCACCAGTGTGTGTCGCTGTCAGTAGGTAAGAGGAGGAACAGCCCATTGTCTGAGGAGCTGTAAGTGCTCAGCAAACATAAACATAGACCTCAGACACAGCTGTCAGAGCTACCACAACGATGCTTTGAAACAGATTTTCCTGAGTTTTCAAATGGTGTGTAAATGTTCATCACAGTAAAAGTGCAGAACGATTGCCCGGTCCACTTGTTCCAGTCAGTCCACTGTGATCAGCTGAACATATTTGTGCCACTGCTTCACAACTCGACCAGGGACTCTGCCTCAGAGGAGTCTAGAGCCACAGTCTGTGGTGGACTCTCGGCCGGCGCATTAGTCTGGGTGTATAGTTTAATTTTCCCAAATCCTGTTCAGATAATAACTCTCCTGCAAACACAGAATATCACAGGTTTCTAAAAGTTTGCTCATCACAAGGCCGTGCGATTTGTCTCACTGTCACCGATCCTTGTAAGTTGTAGGAAACCATATTTATTCATTCAGCCATGTGAGAATGAAGAGATTGTATTGTAGCAGGACTCTTGGATCATCCATTTAGTCTGCTTTGAGTGTATTATTTTCAGTTTAAATTGGATTGAACATATTATTTATAAAGTGATGACCACAATCCAAATTTTCAACAATTATGGTTAGCTTTCAATCCGTCCATTTTCTTTATTCCCTTTATTTGTTGCAGAGAGGCCCAGATTTCCCTCTCCACACAAACTTCCTCCAGTTCATACTCTGGAATCCTGAGGCATTCCCGGGCCAGCTGAGAGACACAGTCTCTCTGAGTCCTTCGTTTCCTGGTCTCCTCCTGATGGGACATGCCCAGAACACCTCCCCAGTGAGGCGTCTAGGAGTCATCTGGAACAGATGCCTGAGCCACCTCAGCTGGTTCCTCTGGACGTGGAGAAGCAGCAGCTCTACTCCGAGCTCCCCTACGTGGCTGAGCTCCTCACCCTTAGGGAGCTCTACTCTGCGGAGGATATCTGCAATCTCATCCTTTTAGTCATTACCCAAAGCTCATGACCAGAGGTGAAGGAGGGGATAGAGATCGACCGGTAAATCGAGAGCCTTGCTTTTGACTCAACTCTCTCTTCACCATAACAGCCTGACACAGCTCTGAATGCAGACGCTGCTCTCTCTTCACCACAACAGCCTGACACAGCTCTGAATGCAGACGCTGCTCTCTCTTCACCACAACAGCCTGACACAGCTCTGAATGCAGACGCTGCTCTCTCTTCACCACAACAGCCTGACACAGCTCTGAATGCGGACGCTGCTCTCTCTTCACCACAACAGTCTGATACAGCTCTGAATGCAGACGCTGCTCTCTCTTCACCACAACAGTCTGATACAGCTGTAATGGGGTGCTCTGAATATGGTTAGGATTGTGCCGAGTAAAAGAACTATTGACTAAAATCAGAGAATTATGTGTAATAAAGGAGGAAAAACAACAGTTAAAAGGTAACAATTTTCTATTACAAAATTAATTTAAAATTATATGCTAAATATACATACTCAACAACGCAATTTGGTGCCTACGAAGAAGTCCTCGTCGTCTTGGTCACCCTCCTCCGGGGGAGCCCTAGGGCAGAGCAAACCTGGCCAAAACAAGGACAAAACAAAGGTACGCACGTTGGGCAAAGGCCAACAATAATAAGAACACCACTTTTCTGGGTCGCTTACTTACGATGCAGGCGGGGCTCCTCACCCTATTGCAATCTGCATCTCGCGTCACAACCGGTGCTCTCCCAAGCTGCTGAAAAACAGTGCTCTCTGGTCCTCTGCTGGTTTGCCGTTGGTAGCCCCTGCAGCCGCAACAGAACGACCAATACACGCCACAGCTCCACTCCTCTTGCCAGAAACTGGCCTCAAAGTCACCATCAGAAATGGGAATGTTACTTACGGACAAGGGAGAGCTCCTCACTCTGCCCCTGTTGCTGGCGTATTGGCGCTTGTTGTGGTGGCTGCTTTGTCTCACCCGTGTCCTGATCCTGTGGTCTCGCCCAGTCGCCCCTGTCTGCCTCGTGCTTTGTGTGTTTCTCAACCTCCTCTCTGACTCCAGGCTTCGGGAGATGGGGGGAGAGTATTCCTTCCACCGCCCAACAATAACCTGAGACGAGGCCAGCAGCTCTGCACCTGCACTTTATATGGTGTTGTCCCACAATCAATAGGACTCCTTCTTCAGCCTGATGGCATCCCTTACTATCAGTGTCCACCACCAGGTTCTGCTGCTGCTGGGACCAGCACCAGAGACTCTGCAATGATAGAGGAGGAGAACATTGTCCACTCAGACACAATGTCCCCTTCCTCCTCCAGGACCTGGGAGAAGCTCTCCCAGAGGTGTGCGTTGAAAGTCTGACAGGGGCTCAGTAAGATATTCCCAGGAGACCCAGTATAATACACTTAGGTCTGCCAGGTCTGACCGGCGTACTCCTCTGCCAGTGGCGGACATCCTTGCGCTAAAACATGGTGTTCGTTATGGACAAACTGTGAATAGCATAGAAGTCCAACAACTGAACACCGCTCGAGTTCAGATCAGGGCCGTTCTTCCAACAACAGTGAGAGACTTGTCCCCCACTCGGAGGCGGCGAGAAGCAACCCTCTCATTCACCTTGTAGAACTCCAACATGTGAATCTGAGATGGGGAACGATTAGTATGACTACTACCGCTTGCCGCCTCTCCCCTCAAGAAAGTATTTGGGTTCCATTGCCTGAGCAGTGTGTGGAGGTGAGGCCAACTATCTCTGTTCAGTATCTCTCAAACTCTCCCAAGAGCTCAGACTGCTTCCTCCCCAGCGAGGTAACATTTCACTTCCCAACAGCCTGTTGCTGTGTACGCGGACCGGATCTTCGAGGTCCCTGCCATTAAGCACCACCCAGTCTTCTCTCCACCTGACACCCTTGAGTCCACAGGGGGACAAGCCAATGTTGCCCTTTTGGGCTCGGGGATAATCTGTGTGTGCGTCGTTACTTTTCTGGAGCTTAAAAATGTTACCAAAGGTGTTTATATAGAAGCTGCTCTTTATAAACAGCTCTGATGAGTTCTCTCTCTTTTACAGGCAGCTACACACGCCCACTAACCTGCTGCTGGTGTCTCTGGCCGTGTCTGACCTGCTGCTGATCCCGGGGGACCAGTGGCGAAGCCAGACTTTTAAACAAAGGGTGGCCAGGGGGTTTCAAGGGTTTTTTTAAGGGGTCCACATTTATACTATTCAGAAATTTTATTTCACACAAAAACTGGCTAAACGATACATTTTAATCTTAATCTTATTTTTATTCTTTACATAAAGTGAACTGAGTGCACTTGGAAACAACGAAGCAAAAAAGTGCATTTAAACAGTGGTCTGAACAAAAGTGCTAAATGACATAATTCAAACATTGCATCTTTTAACAAATTTAGGCAACTGTTTTACAGGACATCAGCAAAGAAAAATCCTGCAGTTCTGGTGTAAAGCAGCAAAGATTTTGACAAACTCCTCCATATTTAGCCCCTTAGCCCTCCTTGACTCCACACTGAGGATACCAAGATGACTCAATCTATCATCTGCCATGGTCGTTCGGAGATGGTTTTTGATTAGTTTTAGGGCAGAGAAACTTCTTTCACAAGCTGCAGTACTGACAGGTATCACAACAGATATCTTTGCAAGCCTGAAAAGCTCATGAAAAACTTCTTTATAAGGTTCCAAAAAGACAAGGAATTCCAATAGGGAAGATGGTCTCTCTAGTCCATTTTTTTCTCTCCTCCCAAGAAGCCGCCTAGTTTGATGGACCTCATGCTTAAGGTCCTCTACATCTGAATCAAAGGTTCTGCCAAATGCAAACAGGGGCTCTTCTTTCAAAAATGAAGGACTTTTGGGGTCAAGAGACTGCACTCCATCCATAATCTCACCGTTTTTTTGTGAAAAACGCCTCTCTAACTCTGCCGATAGACAATCCAGCACCTGATAAAACACACTTCTGTTAAGCTGTTCATTGCTTTGACAGACGTCCCTTTGCCCAACAGTGCTCATGACAAGGGAGTCAGCCAACTTGGTAGTGGTTTTAGATTGTCTTTTGTTTTGTCCTTCTCTGGAAATGTTGCATCTCTGAACATGGGCCTCAATCTCCCTCCATAGGTCACCAAAATAAGTCTTATTTCTGTAACCTTTAAATGTGTCCGCTAGGGCATTCACAAGTTCTACAGCTCTTGACAGATCAAGAGTTCTTGATTGGAGCATGTCAGATAGGATTTTTACATCACCAAACACTTGACAAAAAATAATCAACAGCCCAATAAACTGCATGTCAATCTGAGCCAGAAGACCCCTTGCTTCGACTTTCCTTTCTCCACTACTCTTCTCAATGGAAATGTCCTGTAGAAGCCTCAAAATGGCAGGCAGCCTATCTTTCAGATTACGACACGCCATGTACCTGCAAGCCCACCTAACATCTGTTAGTCTTTGTAGCTCCCGAGGTTTCTCTTGGGGATACATTTCCTTTTGGACCTCAAGCCACTTCATATGAACAGCAGAGCCAGAAACAAACTTATAAATATTCTGCAAAAGAGCAAAGAAATCTTCAGCTTCTGGAACTGACTTCACCACATCGACAAGAACTAAATTCAAGCAGTGTGCATTACAATGCACATAGAATGAAAACTTGGCATTACTTTTAATACGGGTAGAAACACCAGAATGTTTCCCACTCATCACTGAGGCACCATCGTACCCCTGACCTATTAGGTTGTTCCTATAGTCCAGACCATGCTTCTCCAAACAGCCAACTATCATGTTTGTGAGGCTAACTAATGAAATCTGTTCTTTTTTTTGTAGGTCTTTTGTTTCATCTGCCAATACACTGAAAACCTCACTATCTTTTACTTCAGCCACAATCTGCTTTTGCACCATATCTGCCAAAACTTCCAAGATCTCATTCTGGATTTGGTGACTAGTGTACTTGGCATTCCCATGTGCCTCAAGTTTTTTTTAAATGAAGGGGTCATGGTTTGTAATTTGATCCAAAATAGCCAAAAACTTGCCTTTATTGACAGAATCGTCATTTTCTCTGTGGCCTCTTTGCGCAATATTTTGTGTTGCAGTTAACAGCAACACCTCAGCTATTGTTTTAATATATTGCTTGTTTTCCTCAATCTTATGTTTTTGAGCTTCATTTAAAGTATCATATATCGATTTTGAAGTATCAATGCCCTTTTGTGTTCCACCCAGGCATACATGGCATTTGAGTGTAGTGGAGTGTAGTTTAAATCCAGCATCTTTAAAAAGTGCCTTTTTCCAGTTGAAGAAGCCTGACTCTGACGTAAAGGCAGATTCTGTGGAGCCTGGTAGTGAAAAATGACGGCATGCAAAACAAAAACTAGCATTTTTGCTGATGGAGTACTCTAGCCATGGATTGTCTTTGTACCAAGACTTGTTGAATGCCCTCATTCTTTGTCCATGCTGTGTCTTTAAATAACTTGGCAGCCATGGCTGAGTCGGGCCTTCCTCCCTGGATCTTGAGATGTCTGCAATAATAATTAAGTAGTATTCTTTTATGTAAATTTACTGTACTTTCTAACTTTAATCCTAACCTAATTGTTCAATGTGTGCACTGTGCATCAGGCCTACCACTTGGTCCTTTTGGTACTGAATAAGTTGATTTGGAGCTTGTGGGGAGTTCAGAAGGTGCTTCATTTATTTCCTCTTCCTCAAAAGAAATGTCCGTACCGGTCTGTGACTCACTCTCATCCTCTGAAACTATAAGCTATATTTTAATACAACACAACAAATTCCTCATCATGAACATTTTCAAAACTGCCTCCGAGTCTGACCTTCAGGTGAGGAGTCATCCTGATCTACAGGAGCTTTCTTTACAAAAAAGAAGAAATGTCTCCTCCTTTTCTTTTCATGTTTAAACTAAAGGGAAGAGGGTGATGATACAATGTGCAATTAATAATTGAGAATACACATGCAAAAAGTACTACAAACTGAACGAGTAATGTGCTGCAGTACGTGTGTCTATACTTCATGTCAAATGTAAACGGCCCTGTGTCGCCCACTTACCTTCTGTTTTCATCACAACTCGAGCACATGTGAGTCGAACAACCAATGAAAAGCGCTCGCATACTGCACCGCACCGGCTCAAGACCTCTCAACACGGAGTCGGGGTGCGTTCACAGACAGTGGAAACCGTGGGAATTTTTAGTTTTCAGCGGGAAAAGTGCGGAAGATTCTCAAGATATGCACGTTATTAAATTGCCGTCTTCCGAGGGGGGGCATTGGGGGTGGCAAGGGTATTTTTAGAGGTGCAGTGGCCACCCTGGCTACCCCTCTGGCTCCGCCAGTGCAGTGGCCGCGTCACAATGCAGGGTCTTCTCTCTTCTGTACTGTGTGTTTGTCCCATGGATGTATTATATTAACTGGATAGGGTATTACTAGCTTGTAGCTGAATAACTCATGTGCTCAGGGCTGGCCCGGACTGGCCATCGGGAGCATCGGGAGATCTCCCGGTGGCCTGCGTGTCAAAGTGGCCTGAGCCTGCCCTATCATCACGGTCTATTTTTTTTATTTTTTTTTATTTAATTTCATCCTCACGGTCTTTGCAAACTCCTACCCTGCCTGGTGGCCTGGTCCAATGAGCAAGGCCCAGGCCAAAGCCAGTGTTGTGCGTGAACGAGTTCAAAAGAACGCGTTCATTGAACACGCTCATTTTATCGTGAACGTTGAACTCTACGCAACACATTTTTTAAT